TATATATATTTATGTATATCTTTATGTATATCTCTATGTATATCTATAGTCTATACCTGTCGAGACAGTCGTAGGGAGCGGTCGTAATCATTCACCACACGGGTTTGTGGACGTATTTTTATGCGAATATTGTCGTATTTGCATGCATATGTGGTTCTATACGCACTGATAAGCTAAGTGTGATGCATGATTTGAGATAGCCTAGATGCTGATTCTGAATGATCTAGACACTCATAGGCAGCACAAATAGCAGAGTTGTGTAGTGCTACTGTAGTCTATTTCCTGTTTCGCAATCGTGGGGTCACATCACAGATAATACAAACTATATAGTTATGCAGGTGGCGTTGAATGGGGCATATTGAGTACAAGGATGCTTGATTGGCTATGATCAACCTGACATACATATACATATACATATACTGTTAGCTGATGAGTGTTGTATTGTTTATGTGGACAACACGTCACTTCAGGCGTATATATACCACAGTTTGCCTTTCGCGTCGTATTTGATCTCAAGGTTTAACCGCACTACAGCTTAGTACGGATCTCCCTCAGGCGTGTTGGGTTATCTTGCATTCGCATTTAAAAACCCGTCTTCATTAGATACAAGCAATCTACAGAACAAGCTAGCATTCTCCAGCCCTGTACCTACCACTGTGCCACTATAATGCGATCATATACATGTGATAACTTACCTACACAACACTTCCGCCTATCCCTACTGTAGTACAGTGAAGAGTCTATATAACACAAGCAACCTACAGAACATGCTAGCATTCTCCAGACCTGTACCTACCTATGTGTCACTATAACGCGATCATATACATATGATAACTTACCTACACAACACTTCCGCTTATCCCTACTGTAGTACAGTGAAGAGTCTATACAACACAAGCAACCTACAGAACATGCTAGCATTCTCCAGCCCTGTACCTACCACTGTGCCACTATAATGCGATCATATACATGTGATAGCTTACCTACACAACACTTCGCTTATCCCTACTACAGTACAGTAAAGGGCCTTCATTCGATGTGCTGGGTGATCTGGCCTCCCCCTCTGAGCGCTCGTCCCCATTCGACCCAAGTGAGTTGCAGAGCATCCTGGCCTCGTTCAGCTCTAAACCAGTGACGTTTGGGGACAAATCCGGTCCAAATCAAGCGTTTGGCCTGCCAAATCAAGCGCTTGGCCTGGAGAAGCCAATGGGGTTTGGGACTGATAGCGGGAAACGGGGCATGTTTGAGAAGAGCGACATGGGACTGCTGAGGGATGCAGACGGCGACCTGGCCACCCCCAACAATGGACCGGCTGTGGTGTTTGGGACGAATGGAGAAGAACCAGAATTGGGAGAACAGGACATATTCGGCCCTGATGACCCGATGCTGTTTGGTGGGCAGGCACAGTTGGGTGTAGTGGCGCAGCAATCGGCGGTGCTAGATGCCTTTCAACGGAACCACGGACAGGACTGGCAAATGCACCAGGTTTGTGTGCACTCGAGCGTGTATGCAGCATATCCATACTAGAGTGCATGCATATCCATATTAACGTGTATACATATACATATTAACGTGGTTATATGTGAGATTGTGTGTTGTTTTACACACACACACACACAC